TTCCAGTCTTATTCGGGAATGGTAATGCAGCTGGAATCCATCCAAATGCAAATGTTTTTCCCTCATTCATAATGCATCCGTGTAGAAAAAGAAATCACAATAATTGGATTTTCCGAAGCATTTTGTAAACAACGAATGTCTTGTGATGTGATTTTGCTTATAATTCGGCAGTGCATAAATGGTTAGACTGGAAAATGCAAATATGGATGTCAGCCAAGTTAGTTTATGCGACATAATGGTTCAGCCATTTTCTCCATTTATAATAATCTAATTAATCAATCAAATTAGTGCCTTCTAAACAGCTTCTTTCATTCTAGTGGTAATTGTCTTGCACATAACGCCGAAATGGGATCGGGAAGAAGTTAATACAATGAACTGATGCCATGTGAAGTGGCCAGTGGCCCTAATTAACCCAGACATTTGCTTTTGATGTTGATAAATTGAGTGTATTTGATACGCCATCTGCTCCAGCTGCACTCAGGTGCGTCCAAAAGCAGGACAGGTGCTGCGATCCGTCCTGCGCCAAACACACACACACACACACACACACACGCATCACACACTGCCTTCTGCTGCATTTTAATATTTTCTATGGGCTTAATTCTATACTCAGAAGTGTAACCTGCTCCTTAATGATGTTTTATAGACATTCTCTCTTCTGAAAATGACAGTAGAAACCATCACAGAATTTAATAGTGATGTTATAATTATAATTAAATAGTTATAATGGAAATTGTCATGGTTTTAAAGAAATATGTAGTCTTTCTTTGAGTTTCAATTGGTAAGGTTTTGCTTGCAACTTGCTAAACTCAATAAATTCTAAAATTCAAAATTAAGTTTGTATAACTTATTATTCCTTGTTACAACAACACAAGTTTTTAGTTTGCACAACCTTTATACTTATGCCTTAGTTTTTTAGTTCGCATATTTTTTCTTATCACAACTTAATTTTAGTAGTTCACATTACTTTATTTTTTCAAGTTATTAGAACTTAGTTTTTAGTTCGCATAATTATTTTTTTTCTAGTTATTATGCCTACATGTCTTTAGTTAACTTAATATTTCAAGTTACCACAACTTAGTTGTTTAGTTCGCATAACTTTTTGTAGTTGTATCGCCTTTGTTTTTTAGTTCACACACCTTTTTTTTGTTGTAACACCTTAGTTGTTTAGTTCGGATAACTTTTTGTAGTTGTAACGCTTACATTTTTTTAGTTTGTGTAACTTTTTTTTAGTTGTAATGCCTTAGTTGTTTAGTTCGCATAATTTTTTTTAGTTGTAACACTTTAGTTTTTTAATAATAATAATAATAATAATTCCTTACATTTATATAGCGCTTTTCTGGGCACTCAAAGCGCTTTACACAATGGGGGGAAATCTCCTCATCCACCACCAGTGTGCAGTATCCACCTGGATGACGCGACGGCAGCCATTTTGCGCCAGACCGCACACCAGCTGATTGGTGGAGAGGAGACAGAGTGATGATATTCCAATCATGATATGGGGAGGGTTAGGAGGCCATGATGGACAGAGGCCAGAGGGCAGATTTGGCCTCTTTTTCGAAAGACATCCTGGGATTTTTGACAACCACAGAGAGTCGGGATCTCGGTTTAACGTCTCATCCGAAAGAGTTTTTTTTTTTTTGTTTTTTAGTTAGCATAACTTTTTCTAGTTGTAACTCCTTAGTTGTTTAGTTTGCATAACTTTTTGTAATTGTAACGCTTTATTTTTTTTAGTTTGCATAAATATTTTTAGTTGTAACACCTTAGTTTTTTAGTTAGCATTACTTTTTGTCGTTGTAAAGCTTTCATTTTTTAGTTAGCATAACTTTTTCTAGTAGTAATGCCTTAGTTTTTTAGTTAGCATAACTTTTGTAGTTGTATCACTTTCGTTTTTTAGTTAGCATAAATTTTTAGCTGTAAGGTCTTATTTAGTTAGCATAACTTTTTCTAGTTCTAACGCCTTAGTTTGCATAATTTTTTCAAGTTGTAACACCTTAGTTTACTAGTTTGCATAACTTTTTCTAGTTGTCACGCCTTAGTTTTCTCTCATTATCACAACCTAATTTTTGTATAAATAGTCTTTTGACCACCAATAAATGGTATTCTATTATTTAAACCACTGAAAGGCTCTTCCAATTTCTCGCCACAATAAATCTAGAGAAAAAGCATTTTTATTTTTTGCAGATTTTATATAGTGATTATGATGGCAGTCTTTCCCATATACCACAAAGCATAAAGCCAGACAACAAATAAAAATACATTAAAATAATGAACATGCCAATCTTAAAAAATATCTTTACAAATAGTTTACATTTCTATACAATGTGAATTGTGAAATTGCTCATCTCCCAAGCTTTTATGACATCTATAGTTTATCTCCCTGCACCCCCCCCCAAAAAAAAAAACCCATGATGCAGATTTTAAAATAATCACATTTGTATCCTCAATATGGTGTAAATCAGTTTTTTTTTATCAATCTTTTTTTCTCTTATTTTAAGCTATACACATACATGTCCACATTCTTATTTAAACAAACAAATTATGTACAGTAGCAGAATGAAAATGTCAGCAGAACAAATATCAATATCCTGAAGCTTTTCCTGTAAATCTGCCATACAAAAATAGAGTTCATTATGACACACTCCATCTGAATGACATCATCGGGAACGCAAACAGTGTGACTGCACTGAATTACACACGGCTATGCAGAATGGAAACGAAATACAGTGACAATGTGCGTACAATATCATCTTTACAGTATCATTACAAATTCTGACACATTAAAACATTATTATTTTTAAGAGTTACGGTGGTCTAACAATACTTTGATGGGTTGAATTAGTTTAATGTGGCAGTATGAGCTAAAACCAGTTATTTACTTGATTCAGTCTGGTTAGCAAAATAATTGGATCTTGATGCAAGGAGTATCACGCAATCAAATATTACACAAAAAACATTAGAAAATATACACCACCTGACAAAAGTCTTGTTGTCGATCCCAGTTGTAAGAGCAACAAATAATAACAAATAATAATAATAAAGAAATCAGTCAAGTTTGGTGAAGGAAAAATCTAGGTTTGGGGTTACGTTCAGTATGTGGGCATGTGAGAGATCTGCAGAGTGGATGGCAACATCAACAACCTGAGATATCAAGACATTTGTGCTGCCCATTACATTACAAATCACAGGAGAGGGCAAATTCTTCAGCAGGATAGCGCTCCTTCTCATACTTCAGCCTCCACATCTAAGTTCCTGAAAGCAACGAAGGTCACCCGGATTGGCCAGCCACCAGACATGAACATTATTGAGCACCCCTGGGGTAAGATAAAGGAGAAGGCATTGAAGATGAATTCAAAGAATATTGATGAACTCTGGGAGTCCTGCAAGAACGCTTTCTTTGCCATTCCAGATGACTTTATTAATAAGTTATTTGAGTCATCGTAGAGATGTACGGTCACCAAGCTCATGGGAGTCATACACAATATTAATTCTGTTTCACTACAGCATGACTTTATATTCTATACTGGACATTATTTCTGTTAAGAGACAAGACGTTTGTCTAAGCAAAGTCAGACCTTACTGTCCTAATTAAATAATTACAAATTAAGGCATGATCATATTTCATTTTGGTAAATAAGCATAATCTAGAGGCCTTTGCCTTTTATATAAGCCACTTCTGATACAAATGATTAACTAATTGTTACTTATTGTTTCTAAAACTTAGAGAGGGAACAAGACTTTTGTCAGGGAGTGTAAGTTTGCAAGACGTGCATAAGAGTTTGTGTTTGAATAAACTCATTTTCTGTTTGTTTTATTCTGTGAACTGCTGATTACATTTCTTCCAAATTTAAAATGAAATTGCTGTCATTTAGAGCTATTATTTGTTTGCATAGCACAACAAAATTGCCATGTTTTTAAACGTTTTATTAATTTACATTAATTTGTTGAAGAAATAAATGCTCTAAATGACAATATTTACATTAGAAATTTGTCAAACTCCAGAGGGAAAAAAAAAGTTTACATTTTACTTAAAACACAAATCTTAATAAATTCTGTAAATATTAAAAATCATAATAAAAAAGATAATTGTCAAGTGGTGTGTTATTTTAACCCCATAGATATAAATGTAAAAATAATAATAATAATAATTAAATAAATTAAAATTGTTAAAAAAAAAACAGATACCCCAGTAAATCAAAAAATAATAAATAGACACTTTATTAATGTCTTAATTTTTCAGTAGCAATACATATATATAGCCAATTTGGAAATGTAATAATAAAATAAAGTGTAAAAAATAAATTAAAGATAGATTAGATAATATCTAATAAACCCAGTAAATCAAAGAAAGAAAAAAAAAAAAAAAAAAAACAAGACTTCTCAATTATTGTCTTAATATTTTCTATAGCTAAAAATATACAAACATTTTGGGAATACAATAATACTACTTCTAATAATAATAATAAAAATATATAAATTAAAAGTGTAAAATATTAAATTATAAAAAACAGATACCTCATAAATCCAGTAAATCAAAGAAATAAAAAATTAATAAAAAAACTGAGAATTGTCATTGGCATCTTAATTTTTTTTCCATAGCTATTAATATATAGAGACAATTTTGGAATATACTACTACTACTAATAATAATAATAATAATAATAATTAAAAATTATTTGTGAATTGGCATCTTAATTTATTTCCGTAGCTATAAATATATTAGGACAATTTGGCAATATAATAATAAAAATAATAATATTACTAAATAAATAAAGGTTAAATAAAAAAATAGATACATAATAAAACCAGTAAATCAAAGAAATAAAAAATAAAATAGAAACAATTTGGAAATATATATATATATATATATATATATATATATATATATATATATATATATATATATATATATATATATATATATATATATATATATATATATGTGTGTGTGTAAAAGTGAAAGAGTGAAAAAAAATATATATATAAATAAATCAGTTTAATAAACAGTTTCTTGTCAGACCTAATAATTATTATTTTTAAAATCCTTAATAATGACTGAAATCAAATCTGTTGATAGAGAAGCTTTCAAAAATATCAAGTTAGATTTTTCTGACATTTAAGGCTCATTTTCCACACACAGAGACTGCAAAAACCCTTCATATTTGCTCAAGGGAAATTATCCTTGACGGAAAAACCAAGCTGTCGTGTTCGCATGATGAACAAAATTAATTGTGATCTTTGACTTTTAGAGGATGTGTGCAAATCAAATAAAGCGGGTGTGCCAAACGCTGAGAAATGAGAAACAGCAGTTGTGACTAGCAGATGCTAAACTTGTCAAAATATTTGCTCTGCGTCTAAACAGCCAATGAAGAGCCTTGGAGCCTCTGTAAGAAGAGACGTCGGTCTTTCTTGACTGAGATTCGGGAGTCTTCTGTACAGCGCAGAGTTGATTTCTCTCTCGATGCAGAACTCTAAAAACAAAACTGTATTGCATGATTAGTCAGTGCTGAAGCCAAATCTGCAGCTTATCGAATGAAATAACTTACAATAACGGTCCAAAAACTGGTACACCCAAATTTATGTTATAGAAAAATATTAAATGCAAAATTTAAAAAGAGGAAAAATCAAGAAAAGCAAGAAATGGACAAATTTTGTTGACATTTTGTAGGTTTTAATTTATTTTTGCAATATTTTGCTTGAATTTAATTGTATTATCTGTCCATTTCTAAATGTGTTTGGTGACTAAAATATTATTTTAATAAATATATCTGTTTAATAAATCCTTTTTGTTTAAATGCAAAAAAAACATTGCCTAAATTCACTGAGAAATGGATTGAACGAAGTTATGCTAAGTACTTTATCTAGAAGAAGATACAATGAACTTACCTTCAGTTATCAATGTCGGACACATGATTCTCCATCTGGAATATAAATTAAAATAAATTGTTAAAAAAATAAAATGCACTTTTATAGGTTGTGTTCACTCTTTTGACATTAATTTTTCTCATCTTAAATATTTATATCCAAATATCATTTACATCCCTCGCTACTTCACCAATACATGTTTTAATGCTATACAAGTAATTCAATTATATTTGGTTACAGATATTTAAATAAATAATTTTGAGGGGAAAAACATTTTGTTGTAAAAGTTATTAAAACTTTTGGATGTAAAAAAAAGATGAGAAAATGAAACAATTTTCAGTCTATTCAAGAATCCAAGAAGACATTGATCATATCATTAATCATATTGCAAACACTTTTTAATATTTATTTTTAACATTTTTCTCAAAGTCTGTGGTGAATACACTGTGGTGAATACACTGTAAAGTTTTGAGTTGAAGAAATAGGTAGTGGTGTAATTAAATTATATTTGATTGTAGATATTTAAATATTTAATGAATTTTGTGGTAAAAAAAAAAAACTTTTGTGGGAAAAATAATTGGCAATTTTTGGATGTAAAAGAAATTCATGCTAAACCTACAGTGTGTCCAAGAATCCAAAAACTCAAGATATATTTTGTAATATTAATAATACTGATCATCATTTATTCATTCTTTGGAGTTTAATTTTTACCAAAGAGTATAATAAAAATATTAAAAAGCAATATTAACCCCACAATATTAAACCCCCTCCCCATTTCCTCACCTCAAAGTGTTGTTCCCCTTCGGTTGGGGAACTTCAGTGCCATGAATGGGAGGATTCGGATCAGAAGCCGCTTATCTGGAGAGTATTGAACGGGCCAATGAATGAAATTAATTGGCAGCGTAAGCTTGCGCAGGTGTGCGACATCTGCAATTATCTCAGCATATAAGCACACCTGAAGCCAGCAGACGCCATCCTTTTCGCTTCAGATCCTTTCTGAGTGAGTCGATGAGGGTTCCTCTTGCTGATCAGCACTTCAGAGCGAACGAGTGTGTCTCCCGGTCCAGAGTGGGTCTTCGCGGTGGCAGACGGTCGAGCTGGGTTACTCCCTTGCCTGCGGTTCTTTGGGTCCGGTCCTCCAGAGCGGTGCGTATAGTTGCAACTTTCCTAAAAGAGCAACACAGTCGTGCAGCACGTCCTTTTCAGGATGGCGCTCCGACTGTGCGTTTCTGGATGCGGGGGTTTCCTGTCTCCGGATGATGGACACGATCACTGCATTGGATGTTTGGGGGTCCAGCATGTTAATGCGGTGCTCGCGGGCGGTTCATGTCGTCATTGCGATGCCATGACCGTTGCACAGCTAAGATCGCGGCTAACTTTCGCAAGAGAGCGAGCCACCCCAGTTGCCTCCTGCTCTAAAAAAGCAGCGGGCGCTCGGGCAGATCTGAGGGTTTCAGCGGGAGCTAATCTGCCGCCCACGGGCTCGCGGACCTCTCGCTCCTCACGGCGCTCCATCCAAGCTTCGGGTGGTGAGAGTGATCCGTCTAATCAGATGGTAGCTCTCACACTCGCTGACACCGGAGATCAGATGTCCTCCGCGGCATCGGAGGGTGGGCTTTCACTGTCCGACGAAGATCCGGACCCGCTCGCCCCCTCCGGGCAGGTGAGCGCTGTCAAATCGGATCCTGAAGCGGACATGTTAGCCGTGCTTTCCCGGGCTGCTTCGGCCGTGGGGTTGGAGATGGTTTATCCCCCAGCTCCGCGGCCGGACCGACTAGATGGGTGCTACGTAGAGGACCAGAAGGCGAAGCCTTCGAAGCCTCTCGTCCCCTTCTTCCCGGAAGTGCACAGTAGGCTCACGCAGTCCTGGAGGGCACCTTTCTCTGCCCGTGCTGCGAGTGCCTCCGCCCTCACCGCCCTTGACGGCGGAGCTGCCAGGGGGTATGAGGCGATCCCGTCAGTGGAGCGCGCTATCGCGGTCAATCTTTGTCCGCGCGGCGCCTCTACGTGGCGGGGTTTGCCCCGCCTCCCGTCCAAAGCCTGTAGGTTGTCTGCCTCCCTCGGAGCCAGAGCTTATAAGGCTGCGGGCCAGGCTGCTTCTGCTTTGCACGCGATGGCCACCTACCAGCGCTACCAAGCGCAGGCGCTGGCCGAGCTGCACGAGGGCGGGTCCAACCCAAGCTTATTACATGAGCTGCGCACCGCGACCGACTATGCTCTTCGGACTACTAAGTCCGCCGCGTGTGCGCTGGGGAGGACGATGTCCACACTTGTGGTTCAGGAACGCCACCTCTGGCTAAACCTGGCCGATATGCGCGACGTTGACAAAGTTCGCTTTCTTGACTCGCCCATATCCCAGGCTGGCCTGTTCGGCGACACCGTCGGTGAATTCACCCAGGAATTCAAGGCGGTGAAAGAGCAGTCGGATGCGATGGGCAATGTCATCTATCGGCGTGGCCGTAAGCCCGCTCCGCCCGCCGAGCCATCCACCTCCGCTGTTCCTCGCCGAGGGCGCCCGCCAACGAGTGCTGCCCCGCCCCCGCCTGCGCCTCCGGCCAAGCGGGCGCGGCGTTCACCTCGAAAGCAGGCAGCCCCTCCTGCCCAGGGCGCCGTTAAGTCCGGTAAACGGACCGCGAAGCGTCCCTGAGACAGGCCATCCGGAGAAGAGGAAACTTGCTCTTTCCCCGCTGGAGGGCGGGGCCCCGATAACAACGGTACTTTTCAGTGCCACCAAAACATCAGTAAAAGAGCACTTTTTCCCTTCCCCGGATGTGACTGCACGAGTTCTGCCAGTCCGGGACGCGCTGCCTTCCGGCTCGCAGACTCTACGTGCTTCGCCAGTGGCTCACGAGCGCTGGGGGGACGGTCTCCCTTTCCTCAGCCCTCCAGCCCCCTCTCCGGAGTCAGGGTGCGGAGCCAGAGCGAATCGCTCTCCTCCAGCTCTTCCGCGGGACCCTCGTGCTTCCCGGATCAGCACACCCACTCCGCGCTGCCCCACCGCTGGTACGTCAGCGATTGTAGCGATGACTCCATTAGCGAGGGCTCTGCCTGCCTGGTTAGCGCGGGCCAGCCCCTCGCGGTGGCTCATACGCACAATCAGACTCGGTTACGCGATTCAGTTCGCGAAACGGCCCCCCAAGTTTACGGGCGTGTATTTCTCCAGGGTCAACCCCCTGTCCGCCCCTGTCTTGCGAGAGGAGATTGCTGCCCCCCTGGCGAAGGGTGCAATCGAGCCGGTTCCTCCAGCCGAGATGGAGAGTGGGTTTTACAGCCCATACTTCATCGTACCCAAAAAGAGCGGTGGGTCACGGCCAATCCTAGATCTGCGCGTTTTGAACCGCTGTCTGCACAAGCTGCCGTTCAGAATGCTCACGCAGAGGCGCATTCTCCAATGCGTTCGTCCTCGGGATTGGTTTGCAGCCATAGACCTGAAGGACGCGTATTTCCATGTCTCCATTCTTCCACGCCATCGCCAATTTCTACGGTTTGCGTTCGAGGGTCGAGCGTGGCAGTACAAGGTCCTCCCCTTCGGGCTCTCTCTGTCTCCGCGGGTCTTCACCAAACTCGCGGAGGGTGCCCTAGCGCCCCTTCGGCTCGCGGGCATTCGCATACTCAATTATCTCGACGACTGGCTGATTTTAGCCCACTCGCGGGAGCAATTGATTATGCACAGGGACAAGGTGCTTCGGCATCTCCGCCTACTGGGGTTTCAGGTCAACCGAGAAAAGAGCAAACTCGCCCCCGTGCAGAGGATTTCTTTTCTCGGGATGGAGCTGGACTCGATCACCATGGTAGCGCACCTCTCCGAGGAACGCGCTCGCCTGTTGCTGAACTGTCTGAGGGAGCTCGACAGCAAACTAGTGGTCCCACTGAAGTTCTTTCAGAGGCTCCTGGGGCATATGGCATCCGCAGCCGCCGTCACGCCGCTCGGGTTGCTCCATATGAGACCACTTCAGCACTGGCTTCACGATCGGGTCCCCAGACGCGCATGGCACGCGGGCACACACCGGGTCTCGGTTACTGCGCTGTGTCGCCGCGCCCTCAGCCCTTGGAACGACCCCTCGTTCCTACAGGCCGGTGTGCCTCTAGGACAGGCGTCCAGCCATGTTGTTGTTTCAACAGACGCTTCCAACACGGGTTGGGGGGCCGTGTGTCGCGGGCATGCAGCTGCGGGCCTCTGGAAGGGTGCCCAGCTGCATTGGCATATCAATCGCCTAGAGCTGTTGGCAGTGTTCCTCGCTCTCCACCGCTTTTTACCGGTGCTGGAGCGGCAACACGTGCTGGTCAGGACGGACAGTATGGCGGCGGCGGCGTATATCAACCGCATGGGGGGTATGCGCTCTCGCCGCATGTCTCAGCTCGCCCGCCGTCTGCTCCTCTGGAGTCACCCGCGGCTGAAATCGCTGCGCGCCATTCACGTCCCAGGCACGCTCAATCGTGCAGCCGATGCGCTCTCACGACAGCTGTTACGCCCTGGAGAATGGAGACTCCACCCCGAGTCTGTTCAGCTGATATGGGCGCGATTCGGGGAGGCCCAGATCGATCTGTTTGCTTCCCCCGAGAACGCTCACTGCCAGTTGTTTTTTTCCCTGACCGAGGGCTCTCTCGGCACGGATGCACTGGCCCACAGCTGGCCTCGGGGCATGCGCAAGTATGCGTTTCCCCCAGTGAGCCTGCTCGCGCAGTTTCTGTGCAAGGTCAGGGAGGACGAGGAACAGGTTCTGCTAGTTGTGCCCCTTTGGCCCAACCGGACCTGGATATCAGAGCTCTCACTCCTCGCGACGGCCCTCCCCTGGCGGATCCCTTTGAGAGAGGACCTACTCTCTCAGGGACAGGGCACCATCTGGCACCCTCGCCCCGATCTTTGGAACCTCCACGTGTGGTCCCTAGACGCGAGGAAGACTTAGGTAACCTACCGACTGCGGTGGTTAATACCATCACTCAGGCTAGAGCCCCCTCCACGAGGCGCGCCTACGCCCTGAAGTGGAGTCTATTCACTGAATGGTGCGTCTCTCGCAGAGAAGACCCCCGAAATTGCCAGATTAGTGTTGTGCTC